AATGTAAGTCAGTTGAGGAAGTTCTGCAAAATGTGTCAGAAGACAATTTCCTGATTTAAAAGAAAAAAAAAAAAGTGAAAAAGCAACAGGGTGGATAGTTACATTTCTAATGACTAACACGGAAGAAATCACCACTAACTTGAGACTTTCAGGCTACCTGGATTAGGTGGTTTAAGGGAACTTACGCAGGTTTACATCCAAGTTACAGAAATTTGGAGGAAGCTGATTACTCATCAAATGGCCTGAGACATGGAAGTGAGATGGATGCAAAACATTCAGTTTTCTACGTATCTCAGAGTTATTACAAATGTGCCAGCAAATCACAACTACTCCCCCAGCCCCCAAAGAGAAATCAGTGCCAGAATCATGTTGTTCAGCAACCAAGTTGGGACTGTCTGTAACTCATTCCCAAATCCTCAGTCTCACTCAGGAGCATTTTCTCCAGTGATAAGGCTTCATCAGGAAACACAGCTGGATGGAGGAAGGAAATTCTGAGAAGCAAAAAAAAATAGTGGGGGTTCCAGGAAGTTCAACCAGATAGGAACTAATGGAATTTGTTTTTCTGTCTCCCCAGCTCCCAGTGTTCCTAAGCAAGTGAGAAAATCAGAGGGAATGTGGGGGCAAAAAAAGTCTGGCAAATCTTACCCTGCAAAACAGGTCCTCACTGCAGGTCTCCAGAGAGCATCATAATTGCAATTCAATATTTTCGATCACTTACTCTCCCTGGGAAAAAAACTGCAGACGTTTTCAATTTAGGTCCACTCTGAAGCCCAGCCATTGTTTTCTTCCCCCCGTTTTTCTGACTTATATTTTTCTTTTTAAACAAAGGTCCCTGTGTAGTTTATTATGGAGGTTTTAGCTACGCACACGATTTATCAAAAATAATATTTTTTTTTTTAAAAAGTACCATTATGTTTAACGTTCGGGAGAATTCAAGGTTGCAAGTGCCTATGATTAGTAACATATCCCAGAATCATCAAAACAACAGCTTAAACTAAGATCTCAGTCTTATTACTTCTAGAGAAACTCCTTTAGACCCTTAGAGACAAAAGCATTTCCTTCCATATCCTTTGCAATTCCACTCTTTTGCAATCTTTACAATCCTGTAGCCAACTCCCTCTTCCTTTGATAAGGTAGATAATCCAAATTTCAACATCCCCACTTACTGCAGTAGTGTCAGTCTGAAACAAGAGAAAAGATCCATTAGCCAGATCAGTCCTAGGCTACTGACAGAGTTAAAAAGTAAGTCTCCACAGTTAAGACAGCCCAGACGGAGCTAGCACAAAACATCTTCTGCCAAAGACTACTCCACAGGTCAAGATCATAAAATGACTGCTAATGGCCATACTACAAAAGACTGAACACGACTAACTGGAACAGCGTCTCTGTGATTTGTTGAGCCAGGACTTATCACAGCAGCAGTTCAGAGGCGACATATTTTTTTACAAGCACTTCAGAAGAGCCAAGATTATCTTGCTGGTCCAGAGATCATGTCACTTAGCCTTGAGCCCTTCCACTAGTTTCCATTCGACCATAAACACGGATGGAGTTTCCTGGGTTTCGCTTTCCTCTTTCCCTTTTTCCTAATCTTTAAGAACACAGTTAGGTGTGACACCAACTAACCAAACCTAGTACGACGGTGCCAATGAGCATCAATGTAATACCACTGCCAGGATCTACTGTTAGGCCCCTTGTAGAAAGAGAACAGCTCAAAGGCCACGAGTACATCAGCTCTTAGGAATAAAAGAAGCTCTACAACTCACTCAGATGAAAAACCTGGCCACAATGCCATCAGTGGCATACATCCTTTAAATGTCTCCTTAACTTCCACGGTGTCTCTGATGCCTACAGAACTGCAAATGATCACCCAACTGAGTCCATTTACAGTGTAAGCGTTTTGTTATTCCAAAATGTTCTCCACCTTCTGCTCCTTAAGTGATCTTTTTCATCCATTCACTGAATTTTGCCAGAGGCTTAAGTTGGAGGCTTTAAGACAGGGAGACAGTCAAAACTCAGCTGGACAATGTTCTGAGCAACCTGCTGTAGCTGACCCCGCTTTGAGCAGGGTGACTGGTCCAGCAACCTCCAGGTCTCCTCCAATCTCAGTAATTCTGTGATTCTATAAAAAGCAGCTCCTGCACCTCCTCTCCATGAAGGTGTATCCAAGATAGTTCTGATCCTGGATGGAAACAACCAGAAATATGGGAAAAAGAATTATGCTGAATATCTTTGTCAAAAGATTAAGAGTGAAATGACAACTCTATCTGAGCTGAGGATAGGTCATTCAGCCCAAATCAAATCTGTACTGAATGCTTCTCAAACTGCACCTCCCAAAAAAGAGCAGGAATCTAGTATTTCAGAAAGAACCTTAAAGATAGGACTTCAAGCTACACGATAACTAGTGCTTCCATATATCAGCTCAGGTGCAACTACAGCTGGGAACATGCAATCAGATGAATTGAGAGTAGCAGTTCTGGCACCTATGTGAGTATGGAAGGTGTCCTCATCTACTCTCAACAGGGACAGCAGCATACCAGAGCCGGAAGGCATATCCCAGGGCTCTGATGGACACCAGGACTCTTCCTACATTATCTCTACACGGGAGCAGATACAAACAACTCGCTTCCAGGACAATGACAGCACTTTCCTGCTCCCGTGGTGCACTCTCTGCCACATCAGGGAAATGTCCTGAGCCTAGGAATTTCAAAACAGAATGCAAACACACACAGAGAAGAGCACTGCAAATCCTCACAAGGCAGTTCCATTTGTGCCACCTTAAGGACCAGGCTGTGGAACATGATGGAAAGGGATCATGAGAGTTCATGGGTGCAATGAAATGAAATTGCTTAGAGCTGGAGGGCCTGTGCAAACTCCACAGATCTCTGATCCATGAAGAAAAGAAGAGGGGGGGTGGGGAAAAAAAAAAAAAAGAAATTGTGCTGCCTCTGGCTTTCTCTCCCTGTGGCTGCTTAGCAGCAGACGGTAGCCAGAAGACAACAATGCAACTCCAAATTACATTACCTCCTGCCTGTATTTGCATGTGGAAATCTGGGTGCTTAACAGGGAACAGTCTGTGACTTTTTGCCAGAACCTTGACCCATTAGCTTAGTGTTCAGTGAGGGGAAAAAGGAAATCTGCCCAGTAGTCATCAGCCAACCACTGTGTCGGTCAAGGAATTAGCAAAAGCATGCAAAAACATATACCCTTCACAAGCAGCCATAAATGCACGTGATCTGCAGTGTGTATCAACAGCAGAACAAGTGCTCTGCAGGGATAAACCCCAGAAGAAGCAACAGCACTTTCCAAACTTACCTTTAGTTTCAAAAGATGCGGGATACACTGATAAAACAAAACCAACTATTTGGGACAACTCGGGTTTGCCCACGGGTGGGCAAATTCTACACCCTTTACCACAGCACTGTTGGTTTGCATTAAATCCCAGTTTGTCTGGCTTCATATTGATCTGGCACCAAGGGAGCCAAGAAGCAGATCCATGGCATATTTAGGCCATCAGAAGTGTTAATCAAGGGGACTCTGATGGTGCAGGCTTACCTACAGCATTCGAGACCTCTAACAGCTTTCACAGACATGAAGTCCCCAAATGCTTATTTCAAGACAGTAATAAGTTCAGATGGGTTCTGTTGTGGCTGATGGCCTCCTCCCAAGCTCTTACCTTTCAAGCCAAACCATGTGACTTGTAACAAAGGTTCATACTGTTTTTCACAGTGGCAGACAAGACAGGACAGTTCTTAATTTGTTTACATTTCTTCTAACCTCGCAGGTTAATTAACTGTAACTGTATTTTTTGTAGCTTAGAGAACAGTACTCAGAAAACAGGCGACATTTTTCTCTGTCTTACCACTAACTTTAAAAGCTACAGCACATTCACTGAAATTGTAACACTATATGGGATAATGGCAAGACCAGATCCTTCAAACTGTTCAAGACACCCTACCAAAGTGTTCTTTATCTTACAGTAAGATTTTTTTCCAGCAAAGAATCCCCAGTGGATCACTATGTGTCTTCACAAGCTCCCTTGTCATTCTGCCTTGCATTCACAAAGCTACAAGCTTACTTTCACTACTATCCAGTGTCTCTTAGCACATTCTTCTCCCTGTCCCTCTTCTCCCAAAGTTCACAGTGGCCTACGGTGAAGTTACAGAACAATTTTCAAGAGTATTGCACAATGAGCAAGGTGTCAAACACACATATGGTATTTCAGAAATTTCCATCGAAGTTCAGGCCCCATCCTTCCCTCTAGACAAGAGACTTCAAAGACCTCCAAACCAACAGGGCAATTCTTGCAACACATTCATTCGTACTTTTCTAGATGTTATTTTTCCAAAGAATTTTTCTGGATACATTACTCATGTCGCAGTGTAAGTCTGTTATTTTATATACTGATATAGCAGGTCTATTCTCTGCAGTACAAAATGCTAATGAATACATAAATAAGTGCTAGTACGAACCTTGATCTCCTTACACAAAGTTGGGGAAAAGTCTCCTCATTAAATATTTATCAGTGTTCAAGCCATCTTTGAATCCTTTGTTCAAAGATGAGCAAGACTTTGCAGCTGCTCAGCCTTTCCCAATTCTTGTGAAAATAAGGGCAGTTTGCAGAAATCGGCCAGTTGCTACTGAATGTCAAATTTTATTTTGGATATTTATTCAACTTTCACATCAAGCAAAACTGATCTACTTTGCAATGTATATTGCTTAACAACTGTAAAATTAAAATAATGAAGATTCCTAACTCCAAAGAAGTTATGTCACAATGATTCATAAAAATATGTATGAAATTCACTCTTATTTCCTGATGGTTCAGAGCACAGCCATCCACCTGCAGCCTTCACATAGAAACAACAGTAATTTCACAGGCAGAAGACCCTCTGCTTTTGATGGGCATGTGGTAATCTCATTAGCATAAAGACATTTAAATGTTTTTGATGTAAGGGAAAAATACGCAAGGAAATGAGAAAAAGGTGAAGCCTCTTGTTTACCTGTGTCTTCATACTCTTCTGTCGCTTCCCAAATATGCAGGACAGGTCATCTTCACTGCGTGAAGAGAGATCCTTACCTGAAAGGGGCAAGGGGAAGAAAAAAAAAAAAAAAATCCCACAACCTTCATACCTGGTGATGACAGGTGCGTTTTGATAACACAAACCGTGACCCACAGAGGTAGAGAAATTGTTTTTGGAGGTGAACAAAAATCAGGAGGATGTTAAATATGCTATATGAAGGCTGACCACGACTCCCACGTACAATAGGAAATGTGTGGCTGTGGAGGGAGAAAGGCTGGTGAGGAGACAACCACAGCCGGCTGGTGTATGCCCACAGGGAAACAGAACAGCAGCTTGGTTCCCCTGACTTGATGCTGCAATTGGTATAGCAACATGAGGGGAGCAGCCTGCACTATGCTAAAGGGAAAGAAGAGTTGTATCCTCCTACACACAAGAAAAGTTCAAGGAGAAACTGCACATCTCTGGATTCTCATGAGAATTTCCTGTCTCTGACAGAGTTAGGGACTTATCGCTCCTCCATACAGTGAAAAAAAAAATAAAAATAAAATCCATCTTTACTCAGTGGGGACTTTTCTTTGATTCATGAAATTGCTTCTGAAAAGCAAAACCTCCATCTCTGCAACACACTGGATTATTCTAACTTAAAACAATTTCAAGGGTGAAGCAAAGATTTCTCTGAGTTCCAGCAGGACTATTACTCCCATCTGACTGTTGTGTGGCTGCCTGAGTATCAGACACAGAGCAGGGAGGGGGAAGCAAAAGGGCGTGATGTAATATTCTGAGATACTGGCAAAAGTTTAGCTGATTCCACAGTGCAGAAGCCTTTACATTGCATTGTCCACAGCTTGTCTCAGAAAATTTTTTTGAAAGAAGTCAGCAAAAGTTAAAGAAAGAAAATTAGCCCAGATAGGTCAACTTATTAGGAGCCTCCTGGGGTCTCACTCCACTTGGTTTCCTGATTCCAAAATCACTGACCTCAAAATGAATCTAAGTACTTGCAACGGCCAGAAAAAAAAAAAAAAAAAATCAGACTATTCCACCTGTTTCTTCTTCTCAGGATCCTTAACTGCCCGCAGAGGGTAATCAGACACACCAACCTAGAGGAGAAAATGTTACCCAGCTTTCTGGTGTCTCACTCACTGTGCAGCCCTTACCCAAGCAAGCTGGGTGAGACTGTGGTGGCTGTTTTCAATTTTATCTTGGCCAAAGCTTGGAACATGACACTTAGAATCCTGCTGCTCCTTCTCCCACCCTATGCTTTCTTTCTAGGCCTTTCCCCTCCAAATACATCCCCTCTCTTTTTGCATTCTCTAACAGAAAACCAACTTAGGTGACAGACCAAATCTTTTGCAGCTTCACAGTGGAACAGCTACTAGAAAAGCAACTGAAATCACTGTCTCTATCTCCTAATGGTGTGTTTCCCAGACCCAAACGTGGCTCCTAAGCCTATGTGGTGCCCATGTTCCTCCAGCAGTGAGGCTACAAAACAGCACCAGAAACGGAAACTGCATTTTCTATCGTTGCTGCTCCCTTCTCCCGCTTTTGTGTGAGCTCGTCTTGTTTAGTCTAAAAGGAAGCAGGATCGGGGCCACAACATTAGCCTTTCTCAAATAACTTTTCCTCTTTCCCTGAAAAAGGACAATTTCCCTGTTTTAGACCACAGAATGTACAATCAAACAGGGGCCTACCTTATAGAAACACTGCAACCAAACAAATAAGCGATACTGTTAACATGAAAGCCTTGCTTCATATTTAACATGCTTAAAAGACACTTCTTTTTTTCTCTATATTTAGTAAAAGGTTAACTCCAAATCAAAATAAATCCTCTCTGCTACTACCTCAAACAGGCCACAGCCTCTGTATTTGCAAGCCCTGACCCAATTTCATTGTTTAACGTCGTAAAGCGGCAGGGTCATGTTAACATGTTTGACTTCAAGGCTGAATTATTTAATCAAAAATCCCAAACACCAGTATCAGAATTTGGCCTCCGTTCAGACATCAATTACCTCTGTTTTAGCAGAGGCATTTGCTATCAGAAAACACTACACAGAGCTTTATGTTTAATAAATTAGCCATTAGTGGAAACTGATCCTCTTCATACACTGAAACATATGTACGCACACACCACGTGTGCATGGGTGTGTGAAAGGGGAACACAGCCGACAGAGAAACAGAGCAAGGGACTGAACAACTGTCAAGAGCCAAAACCAGGGATGGTTGAAATAATGTCATGACTAAGAAATAAAGAAGTTACTAAACTCCGCAAGTTCTTGATATAGTTTTTCTGGCCACCAATCACTATCCTAATTTATCTAACAAAGTAACTGGTAGATGTAAGAGGGCTTTCCTCTTCCTGCACTCAGGTCTAATCTGATCACTGATCTTACCCACATGATCTCTCCACAGGAGTTACTGGAGACTGCAGAGGATAGTGTCATGCAGATGCCCAAGTGACTCTATTCTCACCTTTGCCTCTCCCTCCCATCCTCTGCTCACTAACAAACCACTCAGAATATTCATCATTCCTTTATCCAGCTGATGGTTATTTCAGATAGAAATTGTTTTATTTAACAATATCATCCTAAAGCCATCCAATATTGTCCAAATAAAGAGGAAGAGCATATTATAGCTTTAAGTTGGTGCAGGGTGTATTTCTAAACCAAGATTTACGTGCCAAATTTAGACCCCAGAAGGCAACAGATCACCTTGACACATGTGGTTTTCTCTAATCCTGGCTAGAGCTTATGAAACGACAAAACTCCTCTTACCTTTTGCAAACTTCATATAATGGACACGTTTCCTGGAAGATTTGGATTTTTCTTCAAGACTGAATGTCTTCTTCTGATTATTCACTGAGGACTCTAGAAAAAACAAACCAAACAGGTTGCAACCCTATTAGAGGCGCTCTAACCACCAAATTCAAATATCAGTGTATTTAACTTTCTCTCTCAAAACCAAGTCTCACTACATATCATAATATATTACTGAAGGAAGCACTGTAAGTTTTGTCCGAGACATGTTAGTGCTTGGGGTTTTTTTTGCCACATCCCCTTCCCTTCCCATTTCCAGTCTAACGTAACTTGAAAAAGCAGATACAGGTACTTCAGGTCAAAGGCGAAGTCTAATTTAACACCGTTTCTAAGGTAAGAAAAGAAAAATATGTCAGGGTTTATTGTGTTGTTTGTTACAAATTACCTCCAGTGTCAGATCCTGAGAAAGATGTAAGAAATAGTACAAAATTAAATACTGAACCTGACTGAGTAGAAAGAAAAAGGGAAAAAAAAAACAAACAGAAAGGCTTTCCACTTCTAACACTTCTCATGAAGTGCTTCTATCTGGACATAGTCTGATACATCTGTGTAAAGAAATCAATGGGTGGCAAAGCTTTACTGTCCCTGAGGCCAGCTAGAACAAATTGCCACATCCATATTATTTAATTTTCCTAGCTTCCAGAAGATGGGCTGCATCTAAACTGTCCACTGGGAATGGTCTCTGGGGTTGGCTAAGTCCCAAATTCACTCAGGAGTTGTTTGGGAGGATGTTGGCTTGTAGAGGTCAAAACCATGCGAAGGGTTAGTCTAACTATTGAACTATTGAGCTATCGAGATCCTGTGCTGTGGCAGGTTATTTTACAGGTACAGATGTCCTTTTTGCATCCACAGAGCCTGCTAATTTAAAAGAAATTCTCAGAAGGAGGTAACCTGCTGTCTGGTTAATAACTCCTTTATTAGTTCTAGCCTAACAATAAATAGGCACCACAGGATTCTCTAGAAAAGGCTACTCCGGTAAGACGGTTTTTTGTCTCCCAGTGGTGACTGGGATGGGTACGGAAATCAACCCATACCCCCAGGGCCAAGTTGAGTCACCTTTTTCATATGATCCCACCCCTGAAAGCTCTGCAGACCAAGCTTTTCTGACATTGGAATTACAGTACTTCACTGCTTGATAGGTGGTGTCACCTGACAATAAAGTCATTGACATAAAAATGAAATCTGCAGCCTGCAGTGGGAGAGCTGACTACCAAAAAGCAGTCTGAGATCTACTCTTTCATTTATACACTAAGCCCTAACGTGAAGAGGAAGGACTAACAAACCCAGTTTTAGACAAAGTTTGCAGTCAACTTGAAAATCCTCAATAAAAAGGGTCTATGGGCAAAGCAAGCATCACAACTCAAATATCCTGACCAGAGAGAGGCACTTTGAGCCTGCTCTCTGATCCACTTGTACCGAAGGCAACGTTACACAGCAAAGGATTTTCAGAGCTTCCTCTGCCACTTTATTCTTGCAGCGAAAGGGGCAGCAGCACCGCCTTGTGCCTTCAAGGAGGAATTTCACTACCGAAACGTGCTGGCACTTGCAGTGCACAGGTAGGTACATCCCTGCGTCTCCTAGTGACTGGTAAACCCTCTGACAAACTGAGCAAGCACTGCAGGAGTATTAATGTGCTTTTTAAAGCAATGTAGTCATAGCAGTAAAGCCACGTGTCATAACTATAGCAAATCTGATACAGATGAACATTTCAAAGCACGTTACAGACATGGCCAGAATGTTGTTGCCCCATTTTATGAAGAAAGGGGCAGAGTCATCATCTCTTAATATGTCAGCAAAAAAGCCAGAAATCAAAGCTCCTCACTAGGTGCTCAGCTAGGGGAAAAAAAAAAAAAAAAAAAAAAAAAAAAAAAAAAAAACTATGTACATCGAGGGTATCTGAATGTTGGCATACGAACCATCACGGGGCCCTTCCTTCCCGATTTCTAATTGCAATCCAACTCTGGCAACTACACCAGTTATTTAAGAACAATGAAGTTTTTCAGCTGACTTTTAATGCAATTTGAAACTGGATGATGGCCAATAATGTAACATTTGATCCTGTAGCACAGCTGCAGGCAGAGTTATCTGGATGAGTTTTGCCAGCTTAAACAATTGACAAAAAAATCCCCAAGTTTCAGAGCAATGCTTGCAGCCTGCAAATCGCCAAACGTGATTCTCACTGGGAATTTTCAACGTGCACCCAAATCTGTCCTCAGTGATTGAAAACTCTTGTCCCAGCTCCTAAAAAGACCAAGGGAAAATAACCGAGAAAAACAGGGAGGAATATGGTTTTCAGGGACCACTTTGCATCAAGTGCAGATGACCCAGGGAATACTGCACAGATTTAGGAACAAGACAGCCTTGCTCAACAAACCTGCCTCTGTGCTGACTCACTGTGTCCTTGGGCAAGTCACTTCAGCTCTCTGCTCACCAGTTTGCAGGTTTCCCACCAGTTACACCTAACTGATCTTCCCATGGCTCAAGTTGGAACTTGGGTAGGATTTAGTTATAAAGGTGGAAAGGAACTTTTGGAATTTCCCTACACTATGCTATTCTACTTCTTGAGGATTTCAGCTACAGCACCTAGCACTGTGTGGCCTCAGACCAGGATTAGGGCTCCAATGCACAGGGATAACTTATACAGCAATTTTTAAAAAGGTGATTTTAAAGCATCAGGTTCAGAATTTTAATCCTAGTTCTCTAGGATTTGACACCAAGTTTGATCCTTCTTAACTGATTTTTCTCCTGCTCTTTCTACCTTTCCTCTCCTAAAAAGCCTTCTGTGCTCAAATGTTAAGAATGAATGAATGGACAGTTGCTAAATTCACTGAGCTGGCAATTCTGCCACTAGCAGCACGTGGACAGGCAACCCTTGGTTTAACAACCCTCCAGAGAGTTGTTTAGCTATATGATCAGAGTTTAAACTTGAGTCTAACTGACAAAGAGATGTTAATCCCTTTGGTGTGTACAATTCTTTCTGTAAGCTCACACCCATCAGTTTTGCATAACTTCATTTTTACAAACCAAGGTCAAACTGTGTAAAGCTTTTCAAAATGAAGGGACTTTATAAATAGCTCTTTTGGGAAAGTTGTGCAGTTTCCCCACTTGTGTGCTCTACATCAGGGCTACAAAAATCACATTATACTGCACTCAAAACAGAGATGCATAACTCTGAGTCAAAAGCTAAGAAGCAGCTCTCTGAGGACAGGAAAAGTAGGTATTTAAGCAACCACTGGAGCATGAAAACCAGGTGTGACTGTTAGGAAAGCAAACGCATTGCAATGGTGAGAGACTGTGTTATGAGCCTTCATATTGGCTCTGGTTGCTTTATAAAGAAACAAGTGTTGCTGTAATAAACCCCACCAAAGGATCACCTGTGTTGTGGTCCTGGATAAAATAAACAAATTCAAAATTTTCCCCAGCAAAAAGCCTTTAATGAGAGCAAAACTGATCCACTGAGATCTACATATCCAGGCAGACCAACTTGAGCATGGTCACGGAGGGCAACATGTCCTGCTCCCAGAGATTTGGGGGGAGAAGGGGGAGTTGTCATTCTCAGCAAGGAGACTACTAGCAGCCTAAAGGACTGGGCCTCAGCTAGCCTTTTAAGACAGAGAATGGAAACTCTGCTAAGCTTCCAGCATCTGATTGAGCAAAGCATGAACCTACCTGTTTCACCCTGTCCATGGCAATTATTCAGTTCAGCCAGAAGCTGGTTGAAGTCATCCTGATGAGCAATCCAGTTGTCCTGTAAATATCACCAACATGAATACAAGGCAAAAGTCTTCAGAACTAACAGAAGTTTTGTTAAAACAGATATTAAGATTCTGCACTCTAAGAAGTAACTTAATTGTATGTACTCAATCCTTGTTGGTGGGAGGGGCCCTCAGAAGCTCCACAGGTGCCAACACTAACAACAGTTCACCACAGTCACGCCGAAGTGCAGAAATAAGCGTTAAACAATACTGAGTTGCTGTTGGCTCTGCGTGTCCCCCGTCTGCACAAGACGTTTTCAGAAGCAGGCAGGAAATACTAGTGTGATTTTTTTCAGCAGTTACTTAAGATGTTGATTATGAGATGAGCACCTTTAGGACCATGTTCTGCTCTGCCTGTGTACCTGAACTCCAGTCAGAAAGGTGACTTAGCATGAAGCTAAGCAAGGCAGAACGAATAGTATTTCAGTGATTTGCTTGGTAGGGAAAAAAAAAAAACAAAAAAAAAAAAACAACTCTGAACAGTTTGCTCCCAGAATGCACTGTAACCTTTCCAAGCAGGTATTTACTCCTAAAACACCCAACAAAGCAGAACTAAACTCCAAGTCAAGAGTTTCTACGGAGATGGTAGCACAGATACACGCTGTCCCCAGATGTGAGAGCGGATTTCACTAACATACCATTACAAAGATTGTGCTTTAGCTGAAACGGGAGCCATTTCCTTACCTGAGTCTAGCGCTCACCTCGTAATTGATGGTTGCTCCTAACCCCAGCGTGTTGTTTTTCACCTGAACCTTGATATGTTCTGTGTTTCCTTGTTCCTGAGCCCCAAGACCCTAAGGAGGATTTAAGTGTAAAAATTTAAGAACTTTACAGCAGTGACTAAGCAATCAGAGCTTCTGTACTGTCAGACAGTTTGCAATGAAATACAGCAAGAAATCACAATCTGCTATTTATTTGCTTGCCTGTAACTGAATTAATTCACAGGCATTAGCACACACGAGATATTAAGTTTTTTTTAATTTACTACTTAAGCCTCCAGCAAAGTATTATAAACACTAAAATAGCAACAACCTTAAGTAGTTGGGTGATTAATCAGGAAGCCACCTGACATTCCTAGGCAAGTCCAAAGTGTTTACAATTTTAAGACAAGACGCTACAGAAAAAAAACATGCCTCTCACCGAAAATATCTCCGTCACTGGGAAGGCAGCTGTGTAATGACTGTAAGACAGATGCCACGTAAAATGCACAATTCAGAACAAAGTTATATGGGGGGAAGCGGGAGGGGAAGGTTCAGACTGGTGCTAGTGACATTTAAGAACTTCTTCCACCTCATTCACATTAATAAGCTGATGAAATATTGGAGCAAACAAATGCCTGGTTTGTCTATCCTAAAAAACATAATTGTTGAATCTGGAAAGCAATCTTTAGGTCCAGTATTATCTTTTTCAGTTGTACAATCAAAGGAAAAAAAAAAACAAGCCACAAAGCATTTGGTTTAAAAATTTATTCCTGGTATTTACCTGCTTTTCCCCCCACCTGCCACCAGTAACAAATCACCAAAGTGTACAGCTATAATAAACATGTATGTGGTGGAGCAGTGGAGAGAAGCCCCGTGGATAGATCCTGGGCCCATCTAATATTTGAAGCAATGAGACATATTTGAAAAAGGCTGTTGCTATTACAAATCCAGTAGGATTTATTTGGTCAGTGGGTCAGAAAATTTATCTCGAAACTTCTGCTAACCAAAAAGTATGGAAGCAAACAGGACACTTGGCTACACATCCTGCCGTGACCCAATTGCAATATAACTAATGACAGGACTAGTGTAAGCAGCTTAATTTCACTGCACAGATGGGCTTTTGCCCATTAATTTGATCAAGCTAAAGTTCCATTTGTCTGAGTCTGTAGCAAAATGGAGAGATAAATCCTTCTTGTGCAGGTATAACTGTTGTAAATGAAAATCCAGTAGCTCACGTAGGAAAACGTTGTGGAGAAGATAAGGGGGGCTGTGACAGACAGAAAAACAACACGAGGCCTTCCCTTCACACCCTGACACAGTGTTCATAACAGAAAAGGTGTTATCTATGGCCAGAGAATCTGGCTGCCTAAAATAGAATCAAGACACTTAACGGCATTTTTGCTACTAATTGACATATCTATTTTAATATTATACACATAACGCAATGAATACAATTTACATAAAGAGACAGTACTCAAGCTCCATACTTTTAACAGTCTGATGGTCTAAACTCTAGTGAAACCAATTCCTTGAGTTCAGCAGCCTCTGAATCAGGTACCCCTGCTTGTTCTGGAAATAAGAGGCAGTTAGAAGCCAGATTTATGTGCTAGCTGTAAGACAACCGAGGCAACAGCAGGCTACACTGAGAAATCCAAGAGTAGGGCTATTTTTCCAACTTTAAATGCATTCACAGAACTGAGAATGATCCTAATATTATTTCTTTTTTAAAAAAAAGTCTGGGAGAGGAAATGTAGGAGAAGAATTAAATAAATATCATGAGGATTTTGTAAGCATTTGTTTTATTAGACACTCTGACGTGCAGGCCCAAATCTCAGCTTTGCTAAGGCACCTTTGTGGAAGTTAAACTGCTTTTAAGGAGCAGCTGAGAAATCTGCAGCGGTCTGCACTGACCTAGAGATTACTTAGCGTCAGGAACCAGTCACCTCACCCCACGGGCTGGAGCTGGGAAGGAATACAGCTCACATAATACTGCACTCTGGCCATTCAGGGAAGAAATCAGGAGCAACCTTTAAAAACAGGTGAAAGATTAAATAAAGCAGGTCCTAGAGCTGCTTTAAACAGCACCAAAAAGCCAGGGAGACAACTGAGGTTATAAAAGCAACTTAAAGCTTTTAACTGTCACCTGAATTGAGGTGCCAACTCCTGCTCTTACTTGGGGATGTCATACTCTCAAAGAGAGGGCAGAAAAAACTGGAAAGCAGGACAGGCACAAGGAAGAAAGTACTTTTCTAACAAACTGTAGAAATCTAATGCTGCTCAAATTCTCTGTGCACTGAAGAGAATAAATCAAATAGAAAGAACATGGCTGTTTTGAACCCTGAGATGAAGAGGTCCCTAGCAGTCTTGGACCTTTCAGCCAGACAACGCTCCTTTAGATCATACCTTTCCTTTGGACCAGCCCATCTTTTCCAGCATCTTCTGGCCAAATTTAGATTCATCTTTACTCCAAGCGCTGTTTCGTGGATCCACAGACCACTTCTGCTTTCTACGGGCTAGAGTTGGAAGGAAAAATTCAAACAGGCTTTATTTACGTGTCCACAGCTTCCTCAGTATTTTATCATAGAATCATGCAATAGAATCAAAGACTGGTTTGGGTTGAAGGGACCTTAAAGATCATCCAGTTCCACCCCCTGCCCCGGGCAGGGCCACCTTCCACCAGCCCAGGTTGCCCAAAGCCCCGTCCAACCTGGCCTTGAACCCTTCCAGGGAGGGGGCAGCCACAGCTTCTCTGGGCAGCCTGTGCCAGGGCCTCACCCCCCTCACAGGGAAGAATTTCTTCCTTACATCTAATCTAAATCTGCCCTCTTTCAGTTTAAAAGAATTTGTCAATTCAAGAAAAGCTCTTCATTGCAAAAAAATAGAACCTGTGCCAGACCAAACACACTCTGGGAGTTTAATTTTACTAAACTTTATACTGCAAATAAAGACCAATGAAAATTTTAATTATTAATGTGAAGAATGCCGAAGTAAAATTGCTATGGAAGTTGTCATCCCTAAGGATGGGCTGCAATTCACGGAAGGCTTTAAGGATTACCACTTAGGTGTACAGGTCTAAATTCCATATTTGTTCCAACTTTGTTTTACATCTGGTTTCAGAATGAAATCTATAGGGGATGAGACTTCTGTGCTGGCTTTCCCAGTTCTGGACAATATCCACTGGGCAGTCTTCCTTTTAACCAGAAGACAGAAGTTTTAATATTTGCCTTCATAACAAAAGCCAAGTCAAAAATCAAACATAAGTGACCAGAGAAATTGAATTACAGAAAACAAACCAGTGGGATTTCAGCTTTTGGATTTCCCACAAAATGTTGTGGGTTGTTTTTTTTTTTTTTTTTTTGGAAAAAATAAGAATCAAGGCTCCTTTGTCCTATGCAGACTACTAAAGAAACTACAGTCCCCCAGGCCCACATGCGTGCACTTGCCTCTATCACCAGGAATAACTTTACTGAAATCAAGGAAGAAAAGCTAGCACAGCTAACCAGCCACTTCCAAGTGTGCACCTAAACATATGCAGGAAGACAACCTAAATAAACAAGACAAACCAAGAATGGGAGACAGGAAGATTACAAACTTCATTAAACACGATGGGAAATGGTGGATCAAAACTGACCGATTCACACAAGGCCGTACAAAGCCAGTGAGAAGCCAAGTCCACTGAGGTGCTTTCAACATAATCAGGAAGTCATCTTTCCCTAAAATGCAATACTTAGGATTTGGGCCAGAGGGACAAAATATTACAGGGATGTTTGATTCATTTTTTGGGCCCAGTTTCGTTCTTAAAGAAGAACTAATACTGACAGAATGCATGATGGTGGCTTTTTTTAACAGACTTCCGAGTGCTGTGAAAGGAACCGACACAGCCTTCTCCTGGTTCACCTCTCTACAGGAAAACAACAACTTATTTCCAACAGGCAGCCTTCAGAGAAGTATCTACAACAAGCCCTGCCTGTGCTGCCAACACAAGGTGGTAAAGTACCACTGTGCACTGTGAGTTTAAACATCCAAGTGAATTAAGGTTCCCTGCTGCCCCACTGAGAACAAAAATCTCTGGCTCCCTTAGTGACGTAGTTCACTCATTTATTGCAGTGTTTGAAATATCGAGCTAGAAATCTGGGACAATTAACATGCTTTGTCATCTCCCTTCACCAAAGATGCAAATCATCTCTAAGGACCCAGGTTTCCAGTGGTTTGTGGGGGGAATAAATGAAAAAGCTATCAAGCTGGCAGAAAAAGTTAAGTCCTATAAAAACAGGGAACACCTTGGCTTTTGTTCACAGCTGACTGAAAGAAACAACATTAAAAGACAAACAATGAAAAGAAGTAATCTAATAGAGGTTATGCTGCCCCGCTGAGCAGTAGCCCTCTTTTTCAATCATATTTCTTAATTTGCCCCTTGGTTTAAAAATCAAGGATTAACATCAACTTGCCCTCACTCAGTCACCAAAAACTAACTGTTCAACACCTTTTTTTTAAAAAAATCAAACTATAACAACATTTTAAGCATGCCCATATTCTGTTATGCTCTCTGTAACTAGTACCCCAGGTGGTGAATTTGCAAATTCCAAGAAATTCAATTCAATGCAATTCTTACACTTGCAAAGCCACGGTATGTATCTAAGGATTTGTCTACACAGTAGAGATAATCCATGTCAACTGAATGTGCGAATTTAAATTAACTTCCAAACCGAGTTGTTTGATATAATTCAACTAATCCACTTTAAACACTAATTTCTATTAATTTTCCTGAATATCTCTCTGTAGAAAAGCTCAAAGATGTTTTACTCCCAGGAGGACGCTGGTAACAAAACATGAGGACACCCAATACAGAGATTTCTCAAGCTTGAAATTTTAAGAGAGTGTCCTTTCCCAGCACTTGCAATCCAAGTATTTCAAACCTCTTAACTACCACTATAGGATTAATCCTCACATTTCTGCCAGGTTAACACACTCTTATTTTCAGATGTGGTAAGATAGACACAGGAAAATAAAGAAACTTGCTTACAACTTTAAAGAAGTATTTCAGAAAGCCAGGAACAACTTCATGCTATATACAGCAACTATAAAATCATCTCCTCTCTCCAAACAAACAACAAAAAAGACTGTTTAGTCAACAATTTATCAGACATGTTTGTTCACTGATGTTTTATGAGCAAGAAAGGAAACAACATACTATCTTCCAGCTAAAAACTTCAGCTCAGAAGTTAACTCCAATCTTCTGGGCTGCTCATGAAATGATGCAATGCAACTCTGGGCAAGCAGCACCATCCAGTGGAGAAAAGAGTCATTTCTTTGAATATTTCACTCAGATGCCCTACAATTTGAAAAAAAGATCAAACCCTTTAACCAAGATTAATTCTGTGCCTGGAGCATGTGTTTAACTATCATTTCCCATCCAAACCCCTGCTGTGTGCCCATTTATGGTGATAATACTGAAAACACTAAACAGGTTAAATTTCTCCAGGGAACAGAAAAAAAAAACATACTGCCCACAGAGTGATTTTATTTTTAATTGAATTTAGAAAGACCATCATTAACATATACTTCCCCCCCCTCCCCGCCCCGATAAGCGCCAATAAGATAGTCAATGAAAGTTTATTAAAAGTTATAAAGAGGTAAAAATAAGTTTAAAATAAAAGATAACTCTTTGGCCATTTCTGCAACTGCTACATTTTTAAAATTCTAACTACATAACCACAGAATGATCAAGTTTGTCCTTTCTCAGTTTAGTTCATAGCCTCACAAAAACTGGAAGGACCTCTTGAGATCATCTACTTTAGTCCCCTGCTTAAGCCAGTTGTCCAGGACCGTGTCCAGTCTGGTTCTGAACATCTTCCCAGACTGATACTCCACAGTCTTCCTGAGAAATCTGTTCCAGTGTTTGGTCACCCTCACAGTAAAAAAAAAAATTTAAAAAAATTAAAAAAAAAAAAAAAAAGAGAAAAAAGAAAAAAGTAGTAATTTCTTGTGTTTCTGTTTGCACTCACTGCTTCTTGTCCTGTCACTAGGTACCACTGAAGTTCCTTTAAACCCCTGAAATGCATGTATTTCCACAGCTGTAGTTAAACCAATTAACCTCTGCCCCCAACTATTTTTAGGATGAATATTGATAAGGGCATCAGAACCTGATCTGGAACTGCAAACAAAAACCCACGTAACTTGACTTCACAATTATAACCGCAGCTGAACATGATGAACAAATGTATAAAACTCTGCAAACGTGGATCTCAGCAACTAGATTCAGTTTCTAAGGCATTTGATTTTAGATTCCACTACATACAGATGCTATAGGAACACACTGGCACAGGTAGCCCAGAGAGGAGGTGGATGCCCCATTCCTGGAAACATTCAAGGCCAGGTTGGACGGGGCTCTGAGCAACCTGATGTAGGTGAAGATGTCCCTGCTCACTGCACGGGGGTTGGACTAGATGGCCTTTAAAGGTCCCTTCCAACCTAAACTACTCTATGATTATTGAGATGTGTGCTGTCCAATTAAAATAATGAATAAATTCTGAAAAAAAAATGGGACCAAAGTTTACATCTAAAATAATTAGAAAATTACACATGTAAATTCAATTGTGCTTTCCTCAATTCACGCCTCTATTTTCTACTGGAAACCACATTTTTTAATTTTTCATTATACTTAAGTCCATCTTTCCTGCAGTCAAGCAACCAAATTCATTAGACTCTGTCCTCTCATGTTAAGGGTGTCCTGACACCTGTGAGCTTACCAAAACCACTTAACGATATCTACAGTAGACAGACATAAGTGTATCAGTCATGTTACATAAAAACCTACAGTTGACAAGTTTAACTTTCCATTCACAGATATTTTAAATTTACTAGAAAAAAACTACTTTACAGGAATGCATCTTTAACTTGGAAGAGAAGGCAGCAAAAATGTTTAGTTCCCACTTTGGCCAGCCCTGAGAGAGTTCCGTTTCCTGAACCAAAGAGCTTTACCCAAGACAGAGTTATCAGTCTGGATATTCATCCAACGTCTTAATTCTTTTAGACATGGGGAGCCCAAGTCCTCAATCACCTCAGAGGTAATTTATTCGAAAAGGAAAAGGTTAAACAAAATTATCAGGCTGCATGTAATAAAACCTTCAACAATTATTGACTCAGCAAGACCCTTATATAAAAGGCATAAGACAATCACCTGGCCTTACCTTGAGCTCTCCCTGTGAGTTCAGTGGTTTTATTTCCCATTTCTGAACCACCTGCCTAAAATCCCCAACATCCCACTCACTTTTCTCAGCCCAGAATTTAGGTGATCTCCGAAGTACCCTGTACACACAAGAGGGCGAGCTAACCTCAAAAGCTAACCCTGAGTCCGATCGAACGCCCGATGTCTACAGACACGCGGCTCCGCTGAGCAGCCGGGACCCCAGCACAGCCCCGGCCCCGAGGCCTCCAGGGTACCCGCCCTCTAACCCACGGCCCCAGAGATGGCACCGAGGCGCTGAAAGGAAAAGCCTGCCCTACGACATCTAACAGACATCCCCACCGATCCTGCAGGCGTCCTCCCGCCAAGCCGGGAAGCGACAGAGCCCCGCAAACCCGTACCCAGCCGCCACGGGAGACCCGCCAGCGCTCAGCCCACCATGCCCGGGAGGGAGACGCCAGCCCCACCCCATCAGCGAGAGCGGTGGGGAGGGCCTGGGGTAGCGCCCAGGCCGCCCCCCAGGATACCGGCTCTGCCCGCGGCCCCGCCGCTCTCAGGAACCCCGCGGCGCGGTCCCTCCCCGCGGGAGGCAGCACTCACGCTCCGCCAGCATCGCCATCTTGGGGGCCTCCCTCCTTCCGCGGCGCGCGGCGAGACGACGCCGCAGCGCCCCCACCCCGGAGGGGACTTTTTAGTGACTACGGGCGCATAAAGAGGCGGCGAAAGAATTGCCTGATTAGAAAGTCTTGAAGCAAGTGAACATAGCGGTCACCCTAGCAGAAATAGAGGGTTCAAACCCACTAAATTTCTCAAAATATCTCAAAAGACGGGTTGGGTTCTATATCCGCTGATTTTGCGCGTTTCCCGGCGGATATTGAACAGGCGCTTTTTTCGGGCAGATGAAGAGCACGCGTGGCCAGAGGGGAACGAGTGACTTCTGCTTCCATAGCGAGGGCGAGCGGTTGTCGGGGTTTTGGGGGGTTGTTTTTGTTTTTCCGGGCTGTTTTGGGCTGCTGCGGAGCTGTTAAAGCCGCTAAAGCCTCTGCTAAAGCCGCTGCGAGCGTGTGGCGGGGCCCCTTAGGGTGTTTCGCCATCCCTGCAGGCGGAGTTCGGGAGTTTCGCGGTCTCCACAGGCGCTGTGGCCGCTGTGAGGGAACTCTTGAGGGGAGGAATGGGGTGATGCAGTGCTCGTTGTGGCCTTGAGGTGTGTGGTTAAAAATAACGGGACAAGGGCAGTCTGAATGCTCGTGGGGATGAATGTCTGAACTTAACCCAGGAGCGGTGGGCGGTGTTGGGACCTCCCATGCCTGGTGCACTATCCTCTGCCTGCCCTCTCCTAATAAAGGTGAACTTGGCATGAACGTGTCCCAGAGCAGCTCTTCATCAGCATCATAGAATGATGATGAAGATCATACAACGGGTTAGGTTGGAAGGGGCCTTGAAGTTCATCTAATTCCAGCACACCCCCTCTCTCAGTATATAACTGTTGAAGATGTCTAACAGCAGCAATTTGAAGCCTCCTCAGGCAAAAATTGCCTTATTCTACTTGTCAAGGTTTTTAAAGATTCTGTGATGAATCTAGATCTTCCTGTAGCAGCAACTCAGTGCTTCTTGTCTTACCCACCTTAGATGTGGAAAAAAGACACAACCCCTCCTTGATGTTTACTTGCTGAATCAAACTAACACTAATTAGTAGTCTTTTTCTTGCAGATCATGTTTTTAAGCCCTTGGACATTCATGTTTTCTGGTTTTTTTTAGACACACTTCAGTTTTTTCTTTTATTTGAAGTGTAGCACCCAAAACACGACACATATAATGGTGCTGAGTTTTTCAGAGGAGTTGTAGGCTGCTTCCTCTCTCCTCTGTGGCTACGCTTTGCATCTGAGCATAATATTTTGTTCTTTAACCTCCATATCCCTTTCAGGGGACAGTAACTCCTGCTATGTAGGAGTTCTGTATGCGATGTTTGTGGAGTGTGTTAATCCTGTCTTTTCCTCTTATTGAATCAATACTTCTGCCTTTCTGTTTTGTTGTACTGTTCTGAACTGCAGACCTTTGGGGTCTCTGCTGTCTCTTTCCCAGCTTAGAGTCATAGAATGAATCATAGAATGGTTTGGGTTGGAAGGGACCTTTAAAGACCATCTAGTTCCACACCCCTACCACAGGCAGGGCCACCTTCCACTAGCCCAGGTTGCCCAAAGCCCCGTCCAACCTGACCTTGAACCCTTCCAGGGAGGGGGCAGCCACAGCTTCTCTGGGCAGCCTGTGCCAGGGCCTCACCCCCCTCACAGGGAAGGATTTCTTCCTTAGATCGTATCTAAATCTCCCCTCTTTCCGTTTAAAACTGTTACCCCTCATCCTATCCTTACACCCATGACCAAGAGTCCCTCCCCCCTTTCCTGTAGCCCCTTTCAGCCCTGGGGGGCCGCTCTAAGGTCTCCCCGGAGCCTTCTCTTCTCCAGCTGAACCCCCCAACTCTCTCAGCCTGTCCTCACAGGGGTGCTCCAGCCCCCCGAGCATCTTCATGGCCTCCTCTGGACCCACCCGAGCAGGTCCGTGTCCTTCTGATTTTGGGGGCCCAGAGCTGGACGCAACACTGCAGAGGGGGGTCTCATGAGCGTGGAGTAGATGGCAAGGATTGCCTCCCTTGGCCTGGTGGCCACACTTCTGATGCTTGTTGATTTTTTTTAATAGTTTATATTCAGTTCCTATTAAACTGGCTACTCTGACTGCCCCACTTCCTCCTTTGAAGAAGGGTATCAAGCTGGGCCTTTCGTAGTTTTCTAAGCCCACACCCCGCTGTCAGAAATTCTCACAGTTTTTATTCTCACCAGACTTTTTTCACCAGTTCTCTGTACTTTCAGGTCACGTTCATCAGGCTTGACTGACATGAAAACAAATACTTTCCAGTCCTTCACTACCTGGGAGGGAGAGCTTTTACCTTTGCCGCTCTGGTTAATTGTGTTAGCCAGCTGATTGCATCTTGTCCATTCAGTGAAGACGGAATGGATGAATCACTCCCTGCTCCCTCTGCTGTGTAGTGAATCAGCCTTTGGTCTTTTTTGCCTGCTGCCCTATATAAAGCTTTGCAACTGTAGGTTGTATCTCATTCAGTGCCTTGATTTTGTTCATTCTGTCATTTATGCTCGTGCTGTATGTCTGTATGTGCTCTGCACAAGGTGGTCTTACATCTTCTTGTGCCCTGGTTTGCAGCTGGGTGTTATGTACTGATGTGCTTATTAGTGTTAGGTGAAGGAGTGACTGCCTTTAATTCATAAACCAGACTACTAAGAGACTGCCTGGTAATTCTCTGAGTTTACTGAGGTCAAGCTGAAATCTGACTGGGGTTTTTTTGGGGTTTTGTTTTTTGGGTTTTTTTGGGGTTTTTTTTGGCTCCTCTACTCTCCTGCCTTAGGAAGAGGAACCACCATTTGCACTTGGAAATAACCAGGTGTGTGGCAGCTTTCAAACTTTTACTGAATGTTTTCCTCCAGGAGGAGATCCCCGGAGATCAGAACCAACCCTAGAAGAGCCTTCTTTGTGTTGTTTTTGTTTTTTTTTTTTCCTGTCCTAACAAAATTCATACACAGCAGAGACCTGCTTGCACAGTCTAGGACAGGGTCCTCCTCAACTCCCTTAACTGTGTATAAAGCAGGCCTGAAACCTGAATTCCTGGTGTCCACCCTTCTGCTAATGCAGAAGGACTTTGGATACCCAGATGATTCCCTGGATATCTCTAGAAGAATCCCATCAGCCCTGCTTCCTTTCTAAGGGAGGACAGGCCAGATGAACTCTCATGTCACCACCAGTTCTGTGCTTCTGGTAGTTCTCAATCGTGACACCTTGCCTACTTTCTACCGCTCGCAGGTCACCTACCAGGATCTTCCTCCCCAGGGATTCTCAACAGCGGCCACTCTTTGCTGTCATCTGGATCTGAAATATAAGGTGATGTCTCCTCCCCTCCATCATCCTTCTACCCGTGTTTCCTGAACAGAGTAATCCTTCTGGCAGTAATAGCCATTTCTGTGAATTATCCCTCTGAGGTCTCTATTACATCAGCTAAATTGTAGTGCCATCCATGCAATAAGTGTTTGAATGGTCACTTGCGTGAGCCATTTCACACCAGCCAAATTCTGCTTCCATTTTTGATTCTGGGGAGGTGTAAGTCTTCTGGCTGAGAACTGAGTGTAATATTTGATCACTCCAATAGGTAGCAGCATTACACACAGTTTGAATCAGCTTCCCCGTGCTATAAAGACATCACCGAATGTGGAAGATTGGAAGTCATTTCTGTTAAAGAATGCCTTGAGGTTGAGATTTGTTTCTTGTTTGGTTTTGAAACCTAATATTCAACTGCATCAGAGTGCTTTTACTTCCAAAGCTGTCTTATCCCCCTGCTTGCAGAGAATCACAGCTCGAAACACAAATGAGATCATACCTGTTTTAATTATTACTGATTTATTTGTTTAACAGTAGGCCTGAGGTCAAGGTCCAAATTATTCTACGCAGACGTAGACACAGTTCTTGCAAATTAGTAGTTTAAAATGCTAATCCTGACAACGTTTAATTACGTGAATATGCACAGGGGCAGTGAAATTAGGTAATGCACACAAAAGGGGAAGGTTCCATCTGGGCCAATTATTGTATTTCACAATTACATACCTGAGGAAAAGCTGGTGTCACAGGAAAGAAAAATATAAGTATGTATATATATAAATATGTTTGTATATAGATTTTCTTCCAAGAGAAAGAACAGTTGATATGAGTGATTATTGCTCTCTAAGAATATAGCCTGAAATCCTATTTCTAGTGTGCTTGGAGTGGTTGAAATGTAGCTCTTCTCTGAAAAATAAAGCGATAAAGATGCCTGGCGGGCATTACGTTCAGAGTTCTCCAGAGATTCATCCCAAGGGTCTTACTTGAAAAGAGGTGTTTCCCGACAGCCAGCACTGCAAAGATCATTTAGGGCTCAGAGATTTGAGCAGGGTATTTTCCTCCTGGCACATCGTTATCGATCGCACGGTGGCTGCAGCCTGTGCTGTGCTGTCAGCATCAGCTCCAGAGTTCCCACAGGCTTTGGGGAATTCCTTTGAAGCCACTCGCAGGTTGAAGTGTCTGGGTCTTAGGGACTGTCTGGGTCTGGGTCATCCAACTGGGATGAATAGAGCCAACAATAAAGAGAAATTGAAACAGCAGGTAAATGGAGGAGGGCTGCAAGCATGTCTGAGCCTGATACCCACCTTGCCAGCCCCATTCCACCCAGGAGACCTGTGGAAGGGAGGAGAGAGTTCTATTTCCTGGCGAACAGGCAGCTCCTGTGCTCCACAGAAGGGCAGCTGTGAGTACCAGTGATGGGCTAATGCCACCGAGAGCTCTACACCAGTCACCTGCTACTTGAGGACACCAGGGTGGGACCTGTGAAGATGTTATCACCCTTGGAGTTGACGGGAGGGCAGGCATGAGCAGGTGGGGTTCAGCTCCCCTAACAGTAGATGCGAGATGTCTAGATCTGAATGCAGCGCCCTGAGTTTAAATGGAGAAGAAACAGCATCAGTCAAAACACCCATTTTTAAAATCCCCGTTCAAATGCCCCATCAACAAGGGAGAAGTGATGAGAGAGAGGAGAGGAGGCCAGGAAAAGAAAAGA